TCTTCCGAGCCACCCTTGTTCCCCCTCCGTTTCCATCTATATGATTACCGTATTACGTAACGGAGTGTCTCGATGTATACCGTAGTCACTGTACTTGTTACTCTGTATATCTCTTTCTCTGTCTCTGTCTCAAACTCTCTGTCTTTCTACTGGCGTGAATCGTTGACCGACTGTGTGTCGCAATCATTATATTTCACGCATCTCATGTAAAAACTACACATCGGTCTCTAGACAAAACCTCGATGTGGTTCCTTAGAGAAAGACCGTTACACTCCCAGACTCATCGTCAAATTCATAAGATCAATCGTCAGTCCCTTGTCGCAAGAGCGAAAGGAACGAAGGACTTTCGTTCACCTCCGCTTATCATTCCAATATCGTCATGTGCGTGTGCGTGCGTGTGTGTGCGGCTTAATGACACCGTAGATAATCACGTAGACGTCATTGTCGTCGTAGTGACGAAGTCACCGATCTTCGTCACTTCGCCGATGATTTTGAAGATGGACGCGAGGCGATAATCTCGCCGTAATAAATGCCGTAATAGCTGCTGTCGATTAATCGATAGCTGGATGCTAGACGGGAGCGAGCTCAATTTCTCTTCTCAAATGGATGTATGCAGCAATGCATATTTCTCGAATATTCTCACGTTTGAGAAAAGAAATATTGATCGCTCGTTTCTCTTCTAGTGTCTTGATTAAATGTAGTACAAAACGCATGACAGAGGTCCTCTATTTTTACCTTGTTCGTATTAATAATTTTCATATTTAATTAGAATCTTTTATTGCATTTAAAGACGCATTACTTATTTTGCAGGAAATAAAAAAATTATTTTGTTATATAATAGAAGAAGTATTCGAAAAAATTCTAAGCAACATTTGGCTAAAAAATATTTGACTGAAAATACGGAATATATTAATTATTGTAAAAATAAAAATTTTAGAAGATACTTTTAGAAAATAAAATTTATTTACTTATATATTAAATTCAAAACCAAACAATCTATTCAAATTTATTATTGCATACCATTCTGAATCAATTGCCTTAAAGCAATTTAAAATTTTTTAATTTTAATTATTATTTTTCAATTAAGCTAACATTTCTTTCGATTTCAAAATTAAAACTACTAACTCTTGCAATACTATTATACTCAAAGAGGGCCTCTTTATTTAGATAGAAATTAGCTTAACTTATTAGTAGTAGCTGTTACGTATGTTACGACTCTGCTTCGAGATCGTCGCGAGATTTCGCGAATGGCGTTATGTCGCGACGAGCTCCATTCACACGGCCTATCGACAAATGTATATTTTTTACACTCTCAAGAAACACTGTTCGTGATTTTGTATCGTTTGCATCGATTACGCTGCATGCTTTGTACAAATCCTATCCGAGTACGACGACGATGTCTTTTTCCTTTTATTTCTTCTTTGCCTCTCTATTATATACCCGGGAAATTTGTGTATAATCAGGGCTACCAGTTCGGTCAATTAAGTCGATCAACTTCGACAGGTTAACTAACTCAACGATTTCGTCCTTCTTTCTAGATTATAGTTTTAGCCGTTGTAGATAGAAGTTAGTTAACCGTGATTAGCGCAAAGATATGCGAAAGAAAAGGAAAAAAAAAATATTATTTTAAAATTAAAAGATGTATTAATAAATTTCTCTCTGTATGTGAAAGTTTAAAGTTCAAGGAATCGAGAGCAATTCTTGAATTTAGATCTGAAACCGAAACTGGGGTGCTCGCTTACGTAGCTTCTTGTTTGACTTTATAATTAGGTCACGATTGTAATAGCTCGTACATCAGTATCCTTCGTTAAGTCGATCGAGAATCAAGAAAGTCGCATAAGCAAACGAAAACTAGCGGTGGGATCGAAGCAGGATGTGTCAATGCGATTTAATTTTTAATCTACGACACGGAAACTTCTCGCCGGATCGATCTTCTCGCGCTACGACGACGTAATTTTAATTAAAGTAATCTCGATCTTTCTCTCAAGAACAGCTCGTGTCAAAGTCCAATGGCAATTAAGTAACTTCGTAGTTATATCCCGCAAGGTTGTTCCCTCGGAAACCAATTTCGCGCGCAATTTGGATCAGGAATATTTTAAAATATGCGCCGCGATGCAGGCACAAAAAAGTGATTATATAAAAACAAACAAGAAAATATTTTCTATTGTAAGATTATTACAGTGTTATTTAAAAAATTAAAAAATCAGAAACATTAAATTTTTCTAATTAGTAACAAATCTTGCGACTACGACAGGTTTTCCTAATATCTTCAATCTTTCTTGAAAATTTTCATTTTTCCGTCATCGATCGCTCCATTTCAAACCTAAACGAACCCACCGCTACGATTTTGCGTGAAGAAGTATCGCTGCCGATAAAATGTACTTGTCACCGAGTTTTTATAAGACTGTTATCGCCGTCGTCGTACTCGGTCGCATGGCGGAGAGCCGGCAGGCAATTTTGACGCCTCCGTCGCTCGTCGCCGTCGTCGTTACACCGTCTGTTGTCGTCGTCGTCGTCGTCGCCAAGACGGTCGGGGCACAGGGACTGATCCTCTCCTGGACGACGAATCTTTTCGCAGCTGGACGAGCTCCGGACGGAGGTACAGCGACGGGACCAAGAGCTGCTGGGGATGTCGGCCAAGATGAAAACGCTGGAGGAGCAACACCAAGATTACCAGAGGCACATCGCCGTGCTCAAGGAGTCTCTCTGCGCCAAGGAGGAGCATTATAATATGCTGCAGGCCGATGTGAGTATAAGGTCGCGAGATTTCGCGAATGGCGTTATGTCGCGACGAGCTCCATTCACACGGCCTATCGACAACATCAGTGTAGAGACGAGCGTAGGTACGTACACGAAAATAAGAGACATTGACATGACATATCCTGAACATCTGTGTACCTTCGAGAGATTATCTTTCCTGTTCCCATCCTATATAACATTTTGTTTCCATCATACTTCGCTCTATACACATGTGCATATACATATATACTTATATATAAATATATATATATATATATATAATCTCTCTGTATGTGAAAGTTTAAAGTTCAAGGAATCGAGAGCAATTCTTGAATTTAGATCTGAAACCGAAACTGGGGTGCTCGCTTACGTAGCTTCTTGTTTGACTTTATAATTAGGTCACGATTGTAATAGCTCGTACATCAGTATCCTTCGTTAAGTCGATCGAGAATCAAGAAAGTCGCATAAGCAAACGAAAACTAGCGGTGGGATCGAAGCAGGATGTGTCAATGCGATTTAATTTTTAATCTACGACACGGAAACTTCTCGCCGGATCGATCTTCTCGCGCTACGACGACGTAATTTTAATTAAAGTAATCTCGATCTTTCTCTCAAGAACAGCTCGTGTCAAAGTCCAATGGCAATTAAGTAACTTCGTAGTTATATCCCGCAAGGTTGTTCCCTCGGAAACCAATTTCGCGCGCAATTTGGATCAGGAATATTTTAAAATATGCGCCGCGATGCAGGCACAAAAAAGTGATTATATAAAAACAAACAAGAAAATATTTTCTATTGTAAGATTATTACAGTGTTATTTAAAAAATTAAAAAATCAGAAACATTAAATTTTTCTAATTAGTAACAAATCTTGCGACTACGACAGGTTTTCCTAATATCTTCAATCTTTCTTGAAAATTTTCATTTTTCCGTCATCGATCGCTCCATTTCAAACCTAAACGAACCCACCGCTACGATTTTGCGTGAAGAAGTATCGCTGCCGATAAAATGTACTTGTCACCGAGTTTTTATAAGACTGTTATCGCCGTCGTCGTACTCGGTCGCATGGCGGAGAGCCGGCAGGCAATTTTGACGCCTCCGTCGCTCGTCGCCGTCGTCGTTACACCGTCTGTTGTCGTCGTCGTCGTCGTCGCCAAGACGGTCGGGGCACAGGGACTGATCCTCTCCTGGACGACGAATCTTTTCGCAGCTGGACGAGCTCCGGACGGAGGTACAGCGACGGGACCAAGAGCTGCTGGGGATGTCGGCCAAGATGAAAACGCTGGAGGAGCAACACCAAGATTACCAGAGGCACATCGCCGTGCTCAAGGAGTCTCTCTGCGCCAAGGAGGAGCATTATAATATGCTGCAGGCCGATGTGAGTATAAGCTCAATCTTTCTAATTTTCACGTTGAAAGATAAAATTGCAAAATTATATTTTTGAATTTTATCATTTAGGGAAAATAGTATCAAGTTGTGAAATAGACTTTGAAAGATATAAATATAAAAAATAATAATTTCTAAATCTCTTACTAAAAAAAAATAGTTTTTTAAGCTGTAGAAATATTTTTTGCATTATAATTATTTATATAATATTTTATTTTGTATTTTATATTTGAGGAGTTTGAGCTCTAAAGTAAATTTGCCATTATCTCATTGAATGTTTCTCGTAGATTTATTTTTCTATCTTTGAAGAGAACAATTCTTCAAGACTACGAAAGTTTTTAAATACATGAGAATTTACAAGGATTTTTGCCAAATGTATTTTCGGTAAACAAGTTTACCACCGATTTTATTGTTTTCTGTCACACCGATTCGAAACTAGAACGCGGCCGCAATCGATACCAAATTTCTAACCGCACCTCCGAAATTCAGACGTTTGTCGAATACATTCTCTATTATGTGAGAACAGTGAAATACTGTATCCTAATGCTATTACCTGAAAACGATACATACGAGATCGCTGTTCTAAATAAAGCCGTCGAGTCAATTTTTTCAGCTTTCACCCTTATATGAGTCTTTACAAATTCTTTTAGAAAAGTCGATAAAAGCCGGGATGAATGCGGAGGTTTGAAAAATTCTGTCAATAATCTAACGTGAAGCAAAACTAGGACAAAGCTGCGAAATCGAATTTGAACGAGGTGATAAAAAATGTTGACTCAACTCATGTATATCTTATGAATTTTAGAACGATTATCAATGCGAAAAGAATTCTCAATGCAAATTTATCTTTGTTTTCAATTCGAAAAGAGATTTTTTCATTTTTCTGCAAGATATAAGAATTTTGAATCCTTGTCTCATGTTTTGTAAAATCAATATAAATTAAAAGTTTATGATAATTAAAAACTACTTAACAATAGAAAAAATTGAAAACGATTATCTATTTCTGCCTAAATTTTACGTTGATATCATTCATCAAACATCAAACAGACTAAGATATCAGGAGAATCTCTGTCGATTAATCTCGCAAGACAAATTCGGGAGAAGAGGAAAAAGAGAAAAACATCCTAAGCCTTTGGAGAAGCCTTTCTAAGCCGAGGAAGATTTTTCGAAAGGACTTAAGTATAATCGGCACATGATTTCGATCAGCTGTTTGACAAATCGGTCCGACGAGTCGGAAGTCAAGTTAAAGCTGCAGCAAATTACGTGTCCGGGAGAGGCCACCAACGGCGAGAGGAAGGCCAAGCCGTCGCGGAAAACTGGGTCGAGCTTCTCTCTTCTCGTCTCTCCACCCTCGACCTCGACGTCGCGGCGCTCCGCGTCGCGTCGCGTGTACGTGCGTCGTACGTATTGCGCGTTGAATATTCCGGATTGGACTCGCCTAAAGACTTTCCTTCTCGTACCAGGCCCTCGGCAAAAACTGTCCTTTATTGTCAATCCTGGAAATTGAAAAATGTGCGCGTTCCGCAGGTCGAGGAGATGCGACAGCGGCTCGAGGAGAAGAACCGGATGATTGAGAAGAAGACGCAGGCGGCGATGCAGGCGCAACAGGAGCGCAATCGCATGAACACCGAGTTGACCGAGATCAAGGATCACATGGATATCAAGGATCGCAAGATCAACGTTCTGCAGCGCAAGGTAAGCTTCTTTCTCACCCTTATGTCGCTTAAACTTCCCCATTGAAGTCGGCAATCTTCGAAGGGCTTCGTCTATTTTCATACCGCTTTCGTCTACTTTCATCCACTTTCATCCGCTTTTCACAATACGACTATTCTCGCACGGACTCGTCCCCGTACTTTTATATTCATCAAGAATCCTACCACGCTTCATCGCGATTCATAACTCTCGGAACGGGCGAGCATTATGCGAGAAGATTGCCGGCACAAAGCAGACAACTTTCGCGAAATGAATTTCCTTATCGCGCGCAAGGCGGCGTTTGGTCTTACGTCTAAAGATGCAAATGTAAAAGCGGACGAGTCCGGTAAAGTGTATTTTCTTATCACGCGGGAACCAATTAGCGCTTAGGAAAATATTTACTTTGAGCAGGGAGCAGATTGCGAGTCGCGCGCGCGCGCCGCGATAGAATAATTATTCATTATTTTAAAAGAAAACACTGCAAAAAGAGCTATGAAGATTTTAATTATCGTATATCTTTTTCTTCATTATCTCTTCTAAAACTATAGAAACCTTATCACGCTTGCAATGTGCTCTTGCATAATAGATAGTATCATCTTTGTCTGGTTTTTGCATGTGAATGAAAAAGTCGGCGCTACAAACATAAGAAATTAAATAATAGAATAGCTCCGTGTATCGTCTTAATTATCACAAAAAAATTATTTGAAAAAATTATTTATTTATTTTAGAAAGCTATAGTTGCTGAAAAAATTTGCTCAATCTATAACAAAAAAAAATTTACATCTATAACAGCGAATATAATCCACATCATATGTTGGCGAACCCTTTTGTCTCAATATATCAAGAGGTAAAATATAATAGATTTTAATTAAATAGATATAGTAAATAATTAATATTATTTATTGTCAAAATAAGGTAGGAAATATATTTTAATGTCAAAATAATTCGGGACGAAAGAGTTGTAATCGACGAGAGTATATTTCGCATCCCACATAGTGAAGAAACGGAATGCGCATGAGTACAAGTTCGAATTCAATCAATCGCCTCGTGAATTGCAATCGGTTCTTTGAGAAAATTCCAGGGGCTGATCCCACGAGGGATGACGTACGTGTACTGACACTAGGTAATTCAGCATCGGTATCGATCGCATGTGCGACGACCAGGATATAGTAAGATGAGAGAACTTCGCGTGTGTCCCGTCGTGAAAACAAATATTTTGCACCTCTGACGCCAAATTCTAAGCAAAATTCGATAGTATAACTATATTTAATAATATTATTAATAATCCATATAGAAGAAGTATAAAAAAATATTATATCGTGCAAAGAATGAAAACGATGTATCAAAATCATGCATTATAATTAATTTTGCAATTTTAATCATTCTCAAAAATCAATAAATTCTATAAAATTCTGTTTTTATTGGCTATGTAATAAATGCTATAACAAAAATATATGCTACAGTTATCTCAGCTCTTTGCCCGTATGAAAGTGATTTTGAACCTGCTTTGACAGAGCTTTCTTCGCTTTTGATTATCGCTTCATCAGCTTTATGAATTAGGGGCGCGTACCGTGTACTCATAAAGTACCGAGTACTAATTGTCGGGACGACTGAAAAGGAGCAAAGCGTGTATTCAATGTTAATATGTACCATTTCCCCGGTGATGTTGCAATGCTATAGAGAGAAAGAGAGAGAATGCGCATGAGTGTCGGAAATTCGGCCGTCGATTCGGATGGCATGTGATGTGCGCGCGCGCGTTCATATGACGTTTCTTGCAATGTTTTGCTAGTCGATGTACAGTAATCGCGGGCGCAAATGCAGTTTGCGAGAACGTTGCGTTGCGTTTGCACTGTGCTTGCGCCCGCATGTGTTTTCCGTCACACTTCGTTTCTGTATTAATTCGCACCATACCTTTTTGTTGCGTTTCGTAGACGATAAAATATCATTTTTGTAGAATTAAGTTTCCTTCTTATTTTTTATCGTATGCTTTCTAGAATATTTTCTTTTACGATTGACAGCGAGAAATTAAATCCATAAAACGACAGTAGATTTATAGAAGGACGGACAGTAAACTCGTCCTGCGATTTAATATAAGTTTGCATTTTGATGTTCTGCTATTTTTGATTAGTGAATTTATTTATACGTGAATACGAAATTTATGTTGTTAATGGCGATTATTTGCGATTATTTTGCGTTATGTTCTGTGCAAAAGAGAGGAGATATTATATTAATTGACAAAATATAAAATATCCTAGATCCCTTCCTTTCACTCTTAATTATTTTATTATTTGATTAATAGATGATAGTAAGTAAATTATTTTATTCAATGTTATCGTATAATTTAAAATATGTCACATGCGCTTGTATGTATATAAGTTACTTTATAGTTTATATATTTCATTTATTTGTCTCTTGTGTCGTTATTATATTCATCGTAATCATATAATTATACAATATTTATGTTACGTATGCTATTCATAGAATCTATTATTTGCTTTGACACGAGCACCGTATTTATTTTTACATTAGCGTGCCTGTCGATGATGTCTGACAATGAGTATGATTATGTGAATAAAAGAAGACCGACGAAAGTGCGTTGGCAGGTAGGTGATGAGGTGACTTTACGTTAATTAACAACTTCATTGATATCTCACGGGACTTCATTAGCTACGTAGCGATTAACCGATAACGCGTTGAATTTATGATTCGTATAAAAATTATCCCGAATTTAATTTTCTAAATGTAGTATAACCGCGATATATCAATTTGTCTTTCCACGCTTTTTTATGCTTTCTTATCACATACAAAATATATGTAATAATTAACTATACTAACATATACAAACGTAACATTTGATACAAAAAATTTTCCATAACGTCAAAATTTGACTTTAAAATCAAATTATCTAAATTACCAAAGGATAGTATCACTTGTATATACAAAGATCAAATCAACATTTTCATTCGTACTAACAAATTGACTGATAAATAAGATGGCACACTCCTCATCTTGTGACTGAGTCCGTTGTTGACTGCAGATCGAGAATTTGGAGGACCTGCTGAAGGAGAAGGATAATCAGGTCGACATGGCCAGGGCCAGGTTGACGGCGATGCAGGCGCATCATTGCAGTAGCGAGGGTGCACTTAGCAGCCTTGAGGAGGCGATCGGAGATAAAGAGAAGCAAATGGCTCAATTACGCGAGCAAAGAGACCGAGCCGAGCAGGAGAAGCAGGAAGAAAGGGAATTGCATGAAAGAGAGCTCGCCGAGTATAAAATGAAGATACATACTTTGGAATCTGAGGTGAAATTAAATGGAAAATTAAACGGAAAAAATTTTTAATAAATTTTTTATGAGTTAAATCGTTTGCTCAGAAAGAAAAGACTAAATTAAGATACTAGATTACGTGATGAATAAATAAAGCCAACAAGAATATTTACAAGATGCGATAAAAATACAAAAGTCTTCCCTAAATTTATTTAGCTTAATTTAATTTTTATAATGATGTTTTGCAATATATATATATATATAGAATTAATATTATATCTTTGTCGCACGTTTACATTTATAACAAACTTCATAAATTATAGAAATCTAAAAAAGATAATGCATTATTTAAGAGAATACATTGTCACTAACAATTGTCCACGTGTTCTTCACTAGGTCGAGAAATTGGGCGCGCGATTGGAACGAGCACAGGCGGAAAAGGACCGGCTGGAGGCGAAGCTTGAAAGTTCGCAATCCGAGCTTGGCAAGAGCAAGGCCGAACTGGACAAGGCCGCGTCCGAGGTCGGACGCAGTGGCGCGGACTGGGAGGCTGCGAAGCAGCGATTAGCCAGGCTGGAGCTCGAGAATGAGAGGCTGCGACATGATATGGAACGATCGCAGGGATACGGTAGGGGCACGCTGAATTCGTCCCAGGAAATGGAGCGCATTCAGGAACGGGCCGACAAAGCGGCCGCCGAATTAAGGAGAGCTCAGGCGGAGCTGAGGGTAACGCAAGCGGACAACGAGAGAGCGCGTGCCGAGGCCGCGACCTTGCAAGAGAAGGTAATTATTTTGTTTTTTTTTTTATTATCGTACAATACATTGTCTTTATAATACGATATATGAATTTTTATATAATATAAATATTCGAAATGTGTGTCTCTTGCGTCACCAATAAATGTATTAAAAATTGAAAAATTTTGCAGCTTTTTTACGAAAGTTGCTAAGTTTAGTCCGTCGTAATTTATTAAAAGTACTTTCCATACTTTTCATCAAGGCTATATTTTGCTACATTTTAACATCATTGATCCATACATTACCAAGATAAACTGATATATTACGTTCTAGTAAGAATTGTTATTTACGGGAATATGAAAAAATCTCTCGTCCTGAAAATCGCGAAAGAGACGAAGCTCTCTTTCGGAGCATTTCAATCTCGCAAAAGCCTGAAATATCTCGATTTCTGGCGTCTCCCTTGCGGGAACGCGCTATTTATACGCCAATTACAACGCTTATCGATTGATCGGCACAGAAGTAACTTGAACTACTTTGCTGGAGCACACGTCGCCACACCGTGGTCTATTAATGGACGACTAAAGGTCCGCTTCGGACCACGACACGGCAGTTCCATTTCGACGAGCATTTTCCTCGAGGACCTAGTCCGTATCGGTCGCGTATTTACAGTCGGTTTTAATCGCGGATCGATTCGAACACGTTCCTTAACATCTATCTGAAAAATTTCCCTCGTTCTTCTTTTCTTCGCTGTACTATCTTCATCCTTCCAATAGGATCCAATTTCCAATCACGCCTCCGACCTGCAACCGACAGCAGAGTAACGATTCCGCCGCTTAAGTGACTGGAAAATTGCTCGCGCGCATTACCATATCACCCGCTTGGAACATGGAAGGAACACGGTTAAACGGTGTGCTTAAATTCACATTTTGCTCGGCTTGCCGTTGAGTTTGCCGCGCGATTCTTACGCGTCAAGATACTAGTTAATGACGGGGAGTAAAAAGTGTTACAAGAATGGATAACATAAATCTTTTTAAAAGTGGAAAGTCAGTCTCGTGTTTCAAATAATTTCTTCGTAATCAAGGAACTCTCCACCGCCATTTAAAGAGTATAAGCACATGAAAAAGACACATTCCTCAACAATGTTAGAAGTACGCATAAATTTTCACATTAAAGAAATGTAATTGTTTTCCTTTTTATGTAATTTTTTATACATTAAAAATTCTTAAATAAATTATAAAATCTTAAAATTTTTAAGAGTATCAAATACACGCGAGCATGATTAATTCGCGGAAAAGTATTCAAATTTGCTCGAAGGCTGCTTTCCTGTGGTTAGATATGCGAGGCGAAAAGCATCAGCAAAATTTTTCTTTTCATCGTTCAAGGTGGAGAAAAGTCAGGGCGAGGTGTACAGGCTCAAGGCCAGGCTGGAGAACGCTCAAGGGGAACAGGAGAGTCTGCGGGAAGAATACGATCGAGCACAAGCGTCCGTGGCTCGTCTTCACGCCGAAAGGGACAAGGCGATCGGCGAGCTCGAAAAGTCGCAAGAGGAGCTCGAACGTACACAGGCCACCCTAGGCAAGGCACATTGGATAAGACGCAGAGCGAGGTTGATACGCTGCAGGAGAAGCTCGATAAGACGCAGACGGAAATTCGTAGAGTAAGTAGTTTCGAATAAATCGAAAATAATTTATCATTTTATTTCATCTTTAATCCTCTGTATATCGAAAGACTGTTAATATTTTTATTAAACTATGTATATATTTTATTTATTTATTTAATTAAATACGACGCAATAATTATTGTAGATGCAAATGGAGAGAGAGAAACAGAACTACGACTTCGAGAATCTGCAGAGTCAGCTTGACAAGGCGTTAGGACAGTCGACGAGAATGCAGAAAGAGCGAGAGGCGATTCAACTCGAGGTCGATCGACTACAGGACAAATACGAGAAGGCTCAAGTGAGTATAATAATTCAAAAATATAATTAACTATAAGAATTATATTTATAAATCGACTATCAATAATAATTTGATTTGTCTCTTGATCGTTTCTTCAGGTCATAATGCAACGGCTGCAGAAGGAGAGGGACAGCTTCCAGGAGGAGATGGAGAAGATGCACGAGAGGATAGAACTGCAGCAGAATCAGATTAGCAAGATGCAACGTGAGAAGGAAAACATACTGTCGGAACTCGATCTGGTCAAGGAGAGATGGGAGAAGGCGCACAACACTCATCAAAAATTGACGGTAAGAATAATTAATTTCTTGCTATTCTTATTATAGTACTGCACATTATCTTTTTATATCTCTTAGTCTCTTTATTTATAATGTCTTAAGAAACATATATATATGTTTCTATATTATATAATAAAGCATGCTTCACTTTATGGACTAATGTAGGTATAATATTATTTTGCAAAAAAAAAATTACGATAAAAGAGAAAAATAAAATTAATAATTTATTTTTCTCGAAATTGCGGTGAAATAGTTGGAGCGAGATGACGCTTTGACTGAAATCCAGATCTTAAAAGAGAAACTGGAGAAGGCTCAATACACTCTGAATAAAGCTCACGAGGAACGGGAGAACACCGCAAAGGAATTCGAGAAGATGCTGGAGAAATATGATAGGTAATACGTTTAGCGGGTATCTGCATCGGAAGGACTCAATCGTTTCGAGTATATCCCGACGAGTGTTACGTTCAGTAAACGTAGCGATATCTTAAAGTTTTATTTGATTCAATATTATCATACAAAAAGAAATATTTTTAAAAAATATTCCAAATAACTTTATGCACACATTTTAATTTTATGCACCACTGATAGAATTTTCGCAAATGTAGAAAATTAGGTAGATCGTAGCGAAAAAGGCAGAGGCTATTCCGAGGCTAAATATCTCACGGCGATGTGGCAGGGGGCAGAGCGAGGTGTACCGTCTGCAGAACCGCATCGACGTGATGGAGGCGGACAAGGACCGGCTGGAACTGGAGGCGGAAAAGCAGCAGATGCTGGCGGCCAAGTCGCGCGAGGAGGCACGCAAGGCCCAGGAGGAACTGACCCGGGTGCAGGAGATGTACGACCGCGCGGCTTTGCAGCTCGGCCGCACCAAGGAGCACGAGGAGAAGTCGAAGGAGAGCATCGATCGGCTTAGCGTCGATCTGGAGATGGTGCGCGAGCGTTACGAGAAGTCGCAGATCGAGCTACGACGCTTGCAGAACGAGCGCGAGAAGGTGGTAGGCGACAACGAGCGCATCAGCTTCGAGCTGGAGCGCGCGCATTCGCAGCTCAACAAGGCGCAGGCGGCCACGGAGAAGACGCAGGAGGAGCTCGCGCGTATGCAGCTAGAGATCGAAAAGATGTACGAGAAGCACGATCGTCAGCAGGCTGAGGTGAGAAAGGCGCAGGCCGAGGCGGAACGACTGCGTACCGAAGCGGAGAGCTCTCGCGAGGAGTGCGAGAGGTACGCGACCCGTTTCGGCAAGTACCAGGAGAACCAGGAGCGGCAGAAGGAAGAGCACGAGTGGGCGAAGCTGGAGGTGGAACGACTACGTGACCGTCTGGAGAAGGCGCTGGCGGAGCTCGAGCGCGCACGGAAGGCCGAACAGGACGCCTCGAGGCTGCGCGCCGATCTGGAGCGTGCGGAGGGCGTACGAGGTAAATACCAGTACGAGCAGGAAAAATGGCAAAGCGAAGGTAGTAGGCTACAGCAGGAGGTGAACAAGCTGCGCGAGCGGCTAGACAGCCGCGAGGCCGAGCTGAAGAGGACACAGTCGGGCAATGCCGAGCTCGAGACGAAGCTGCACGAGACGCAGCTTCAACTCGAGCGGGCGCGCGACGAAACTGGCAAGGCTTCGGCGCAGCAGGAGCGTAATCGCTCGGAGATCGAGCGCGCGAGGATCGAGGCCGAGAAGATCCGTGATCGTCACGACAAGATAAAATCGCGGGCGGAGGCTCTCGAAGCGGACAACGAGAAGTTGCGCGTGGAGATCATACGGCTGGAGCGGCTGATGCAGACCGAGGGTAAGACAAGATCGGAGAGCGCGAGCATCGAGGTAGAACGTCTGCGCGCCAGCCTGGACAAGGCTATAGTGGCACGCGATCAAGTCGAGCTAGAGGCCGGTAGACTAGCGAAGGAACTTGAGAAGACGCATCTACAGACCACCAAGTATCAGGAAGCCGCCGATGCTACCAAGAAAGAGCTCGAACGTCTCGCTGCGGATGTTCAGCTACTGCGGGAGGAACGCGAGGCATTACGCCAAGAGTTGCGTCGCGTGCAACAACAGCAGCAGCAACAACAACAGCAGCAGCAGATTGCCGGAAACGAAGAGTTCGCCCGACTCCAGTACGAACTGCAGTTGGCGCAGCGCGAGCGCGACAAGATGGCAGCGATCCTGGAGAATCGGGAGAAGCATTCGGAAAAGTTGAAGGAGAAGCTAGAAGCGGACGCGAAGCAGCTGCAGGTTGAGCGCGATCAGTTGGTGATACAGCTGGAGAAGTCGCAGGAGATGTTGGTGAACTTCCAGCAGGAGTTGAGCGCGAACGAGGCCGAGCTCGAGCGTCAGCGCGACGAGGCCCGTCGTCTTCAGCAGCGGGCCCAAGCGCAGACGCCCGATCGCGCCGCCAAGGAGGCACTTGATGCACAGATGCGCGAGGTACAGCGACTGCAGCAACAAGTGCAGAGCGTTCAACAGGCGCAGCAGAAGGAACGACAACGTGCCGAGCAGGCGGAGAAGCGAGTACAGGAGTTGCAGAAGCAGTTGGCGTCGCGCGGGGCCGAGACGACGCAATCCGACGTGGCTCAGCTTGAACAGTGGCGGAAACTCTGCGAGACGGAACGGCAACGAGCGGACACGGCTGAGCGCGAGGCCAGCGAGCTGCAGAAGCGGATACAGGCGACGGAGCGGCAGTTGCACGCGCATCAGCAGCAGATCCAACAGATGCAGGTCACCATGCAACAACAGCAGCAGCAGCTCCAACAGCAGCAGCAGCAGCCTTCGCAGCAGAACGGCCAGGAGGTTACCAGGCTGAAGAAGGAGCTGGAACGCGCGCGCGAGGATATTAAGCAGGCGACAGTGGAACGCGAGCGGTTTCAGGCGCAGCTCGAGATGCTGTGTCAGGAACTGGAGAAGAATCAGGTTAGCGGCCGCAGCGGTGCCGATCTCACGCCGCGCTCGCTCGCGCTGCTGACGATAGTCCACATCACTCGCCATCCACACCATCACCATAAGCACCATCACTATCTCCATCAGTACCTGAACCATCATTACCACTATCCCGCGCATTCCGCTCGCATTCTGTAAAAAAAAAGATCGAGTCAATCGAGTTTCGTCGAGAGAGCGAAGAGAAAAACGTCTCGTCTCTTCTCTTTTTTCTTCCCCCTCTTCTCCGAAGACAGACACGCCTGATGGACTTTTACACACGTTGACAGAAAAAATATATTTATATATATACATATAATAAACAGATATATATGTGTGTAAATATATGCGTAACTCACGTTGAGAGACAACCAGATACGCTGCACTATGCACCATTCACGTGTGCACATCTCTCTTATCTTACATTATTGACAACGATGTCGCAGCACAGCGCAACGTCCCTTCGCTAAGGAGTTCGTCGATCCTTATTCCAATAACAATTTTTCTTTTCATAATTCCTCTCTTCTCGAAAAGACTATTCCTTTCTTCCAAGCACCGCTATTTGTCGCTCATTGCTATCGGAATATGTTCGAAGTTTTCATTGTTATGATTATATTATCCTCTTTGTTGTTACGTCATTGTTATTGTTATTGTCATTATTATTCTCTCGGTAATACATTATTATTATTATTATTATTAACTATTATTATCGTTATGGTTGTATTTTTGGTTGCCCGCACCGGCACTGTAATTATTATTGTTATATTATTATATTGTTGAAGAAAGCGAGCGCGTGAGGAAATGAAAAATATGGGTAATAGAAATACAATATAAAAAGAAATTGATAAGATTGAATGAAAACAAATTTAAGTAATGCAATTTTTAATTAAAAATTAAAGTAAATAAAAGTACTGATTATTACCCGCTCGCTTTTTCTCAATTATTATTATTACTATATTTAATCATATTACTATTACTGCTGCGTTTATGTCGCGTATTTAATATGACAGCAAAAAGTAATCGTGAATACTTTTATGTTGGATAGCATGCACTGCATCGATGAGATGGGGAAATATTGTTTCACTTTCGAGATCTTTTCGTCGAACTCTTAAATTTTCGTACATAGATATTTTTCATGTAAGAAATTAACATAACAATGTCAGCTAACGGTATTTTAAAGTAAATTAATTTTAAAGCGAACGGTATCCTCCTCTCTCTGATTGGTGCACACTTTGGGCATTTTGCTCATGTAAATATATCTCTCATCGTAGATATACATTATCTTATATTCGCCACGTTTTTTATCACGATATATCTCTGTGTATGTACATCTTGCTGTAATCATTAGATATGGAAGAGTTTCTGTGTGTAATGTCGCGTTTGATTCGTTTTATTATTATTATTATTATTATTATTATTGTTATTATTATAATTCATCTATCATGCATTCATAATTTTGTCACGTCGATCATTTGGCCGGCAGAACGCAACACTCTCGATTTTCTCTAAAAATCTACTTTCTTATCTCATATCTTTACAATAATCTAAAATACGAATTACTTGGCAGAAATGAAGTATCGATCAATTTTTATTCTGCGAAAGCGAGAAGATCGAGGGTTGACGATAGCCTTTTGCGATCTAATTGCACTTTGGAAATTGAAATTTACACACAAACGAGGTATCTATAGGAAAGCACGTTAAGCCAAAGTGCAAGTAGACGGTCGTCGATTTTGCATTTTGGAATGGTCATTATCATTACGGCACACATCAGCTTCTCTTTCTCTCTTTGTCTCGCAGTTGATTTTCTGCTAATTAAAAGAAATAAAAAAGAATAAAACGTGCATGCGACAAAAGCGCGAGGAATACGCTACAGTCGATTTCTTCATAAATGCAGGTGGACTTGCACGAGGCGAACAAGAAACTCCAAGCTGGCGCAGCGAAAGCTGGCGCCGATACTATCCAAGAGAGGAAACAGCTGGAGGAACAAAGACGACAATTGGAAGAGCAGAGAAGACAGACGGAGGAACGGGCGAAGTCCATAGATCAGAAAGCTAGAACGATGGAGGAGAAGGAGAGGATGCTCCAAAGTCTCGACCAGGATCTGAAGAAGAGAAAGGCGAGAATGGACCAACTGGAGCAGCAACTACAGAAGGTGATTGCATTCTTGTCACAACATTTTGATTCTAACATAGTTATATACATATACATATATATGATTATTTTAATAATTTTTAATCTCGAATAGTTCTGGAATAAAATTCACAAAAGCTAATTGCACAAAAATGATAATTTAAATTACAACACGAAATGTTTTCAAATTTGCGAAAATATGAAATTCAAGTGTTAATAAATAAATATTTTAATACATTTTTATTAATATATATAATTATTACTATAATAATGTAGATTTCTCAGATAAAATTTAATGAAATTTCTTATGAACTTTCTTAGGATTTATCTTATTTTTAGATAGTTTTTCTTTAACACAATAATATTGCTTTGACATGCACAGAGTGGTGGAGCGCCAGACAAGAGATTAGCGGAAATGCAAAAGGCTCTCGAAGCTGCCGAGAAGGATTTGGAAAAGGCAAAGGAAGAATCGAGCAGAAGCTCTGCCGAAACCGAAAGGCTACTGCAGCTCGTGCAGATGACTCAGGAGGAACAAAACTCCAAGGAGAAACAGATCAGAGATCTTCAAGAGTGAGTGCTATCTGAAATATGATAAGGCGTTACAAATACGTTCCGTATAATTATTTTTTACGATATTAATATTTTACTTTTAAACATACCAATATAGTGCAAACATAAAACAATAACAATATATTTTTAAATGCTTATATATAATATACTTATAAAAGAGAGAGATATGCATTACATGAACTTTTTATTAATTTAAATGATATTTATCTCAAGAGAAAAAATAGTAATTTAATGTTTCACATTATTAACTCTCTTGCTCTTGATTTTTCTATCGCAGTGCACTCAAAACCGCACAAGCCAAGTTGAAACAAGCTACAACTGCACAGCAAGAGGTCAGTATATCTTTATTTGTTCAATAATATATGATCAGAAAAAATATAAATTAATTATAATTTACATATTATAACATATTCTCTTCTACCTACTAATCTACTAACTACGTGTCTTCTAATATTTTCCACGCTGCTTTCGGATGCATACACGACAATCGCACACTCTGTATGCACATCGTTGCTTATTTCCATTCGGCTTTTCTTCAATGTTAACAATATAATAAACAACAAAACAAAAACATATTGCGTCTTCGAAACATTGCAAACAGGCGGGACCCGCCGGTTTCCTAAAAAGCTTGTTCTAAGGTCGATTTTTGTTGGAGACGCCTCTCCTCCGTTCTTTTTAGTACAATTTGCATATTATTAAGCAAGACTATACGAGTATAGATATACGAGAGACTTAAACGAAGGATCGACGTAGATCCACCGATGGACAAAACACACGTCGAGACATATAATTATTTTACGTAAAATGCTGCGACCATTGTTAACGTATTTAATAATTATAGCGAAAGGATAATAACGATAATAACACAACAATAACTTGACATATAAATATAAATATAAATATTGAAGATATAAATATAAATACAGGTATAAATATACAGAGGATAAATTATAAATATAAATATTAACGAGATGACGCGAGAGAAGACGACAACGGCAACAATAACGTTAATTAATTATTATTATATCGAAGAAAGACCGAAGTATATATATACATACATATGCGTACACACAAGAAATACGGACACACGCGCATTTACCTGTATATACAAATACTATTACCTACACGGCCGCGAAAAAATATACGTATGTAGGTGTATATATGTATGCACACACGTAAATATAAATATAAATACGAGTTTAAATATTCAAGAGAGAGAGAGAGAACGAGAGAAAAAGAGAGGAAAAGAAAATCAGATGGCAAACGGCAGACGCGAAGAGAAAGAAAAAACCAACAAAGGAAAGAAGGACGATAATTCAGTGGATAATAATAATAATAATAATAATAATAATAAAAATATATTGAGACTCTCACAAAATAAACAAATTGATAACGAGAATCGAGGATTTATCATGAAATTATTTGAAGACGCATACTTCTGCATCCTTCGCACCGATCGATGAACACACATCACATATATACACACAAAAGCCTGAATTAAAACATCATGCATTCACCTTCCTCTATTTCCTTCTGTGTGTTTCCCTATTCTTTATTTTCGTTATCTCCATCCCGTACATTTCGTCATTTTGCCACTTTGCCAACAAACGTCGCTTCGGCACACATACCGCACGCTAGTCCCAGGATAACAAGGATGAATCGTGCTCCTGGCGAGAGGCACTAGAGACGAAGAATCATACCATATCCAAACTAGAAAAGAAAATAGAGAATCTCCAGCAGGATTACGACAAGTATAAGGATTTGTTGAATGACTCGAGCAATAATGAATCCTGGAAGAAGGAAGTAGAGGAGAAGAATCAACGTATTGTCCAGCTGGAACAAGAACTGGAACGCTCCGAGAACGTAAAAAACGACAAAACGAGCAAAAACGTCGAAACGCAGACGGAAATATATAAGAATTTTTGTAATCCAGATACGAAGAATCGGCGAATCGTTGCGCTAAAGCGGCAGGTGATAGCCTTGAGTAATTCTTTGAAAAATCATGCGAGGAAATCGACAGAATCCTCCGAGAAAGACAACGATAATAAAATGAACAAAAAAGTCGAAGAGACCTGGAAGCAGGAAATGGAGATGAAGAATCGACGCATCGTCGAACTAGAGCAGGAAATGGCATTGCTGGAAAACCTACTGCGGGAAAACGTGGACGTACAGATACTGCGCGATCTCGAGAAGATGATGGATGGAAAGTCCAGACGGATCGAGGAGCTAGAAGATGCCGTAAAGGAGCTCGAGATCTTTCTCAAGGAGGACGTAAAGGAGATGCGCGATCTGCGTTATCAGATATCGCTCGATAAAGAGCATATCGTGGCGCTGGAAAGGTGTATCCAGAAATACAGTCTCACAAATGCGGGGATCGACAAAACAAGGATCATAGAGCTGGAGGAGATGGTGACGAGCCTGGAGGACTACGTTAGAGAGCATGATGTCGACGGTTTTAAGCGAAAGCTGCAGGATCGGGAGTGCAGGATCAATCAGTTAGAGAACCAGATCATTGACCTGAATAAGAAGCTGTCGAAATTTGGGGAAAATCAATCAAGTAAATAAAATCTTTATTAAACTTTTTTCAATTTTTATCTATGAATATTACTTTTTATTCCTTTGTTATTCTTAGACGGAAATACATCGAAAAAAAGCAACAATAGAATGGCCTGGGAGCTGGAAGAAGAACAAAAAATGAAAGATGTGACGCATATTATTTCTAAAGAAAATAGAAAATTCCAAGAATGCGAGCTGCAGATTGTCGAGCAGCAAGATAAGAACCTAAAAATGGAGCTGCGAGAGAAAGAGCAAAAGATGAAAGAAATGGGATACGACATTTCGGAAAAGGATAACAAAATACAGAAATACGAGCAGCAGATCGTCGAACAACAGAACAAGCTGTTGAAAATGGAGAAAGAAATGGCCGAGTTGGAAAAGGAATTGTACATTATAGAAGACATCGATGCATTAAAGGAGACGATCAGGATAAAAAACGAGAGGGTGCAAGAACTGGAGATGGAAGTCAATTCTCTGGAGACTTCGCTTGGTGAGAGGATTGACGTCGCAATCGAAGAACTGATTGCGGTTCTAAAAGAAAAGGAGAAGATACAAGTTCACTTGAAGGAAGATCTCGCGGACAAAGAGAGCAAGATAGAAGAGTTGGACGCGGCTCTTCGCCAGAGTATCGCAATTACGGACGAGACCGAGAGAAAATTCAAACACGAAAAGAAGCTTAGAAAGGAGGCAGATCAAAGAGTGAGTCGAGAAAATATTTACACAATACATTCAGTTCTTTTATATCAATTTTTATGGCACACGTTCGAGTTAACGAGATATAAAATATACAGTCATTACAAATAAAATCTATTTATCTGCCAGAAAATATTAATAATATAAATTGTAATTTAATTTATTTTTTATTTTCTAATTAATTACTTATAATGCAACGCAGCCTTAGAATGTTGCTGAAAAAAATTTTCTGTTATTTAGATCGCCGATTTGGAAAAGAAGATCGCAGTTATGCATGCTGCCTCGGCCATGAAATGCATCACGTGCAAACCACTTCTTTACAAAATATTCAAAACTGAAGAAAAACTCCTCCAATCGAACCAAGAAAAGACCGATCAGCTGCAAGAATTGCATCAGACAAAGTGCGTTTTTCAAGTTAATTCAGGCCAACAGTTTGATCTCGACGGACGCGAAGCTTTAAAACTTGCCCTTTCCGAGAAGGACGCTCATTTAGCTTTGCTGGAACATTCAGGTATTAAAACTCTGACGCAAGTGGATCAGGCAAAGAAACTAAAAGCTGATAAGAAGATATTACTCGATAGGCTAAGAGAGGAGGTGATTTGGAAATTGAACAAATCCTTCATGTTTATAATATCACTGATATTAATCATTGATATTAATATTTTTAGGATGAAAAAAGTATCAATCTGGACTTGAAATTGGAAACAATACCGCAATTAATTGAGAAAATTTCCGACGACAACGATAACAATAATAATAATTCCTTTGACGATCACCCTAGCAAGATTAATTCATCCAGACCAACTACTATGAATGGCGACAGCTCGCCGATATCAGCTACTGCGAGTTGCGAGCATTCGTAAGTTGCCAATAATTTTCTTTTTAATTAAAAGTTTGCCAAATTATATGACTAAATAATTAAAGTCAAAAGATTTTCCCGACAAGATATCAACAATTTAAAACATAAAAATAAAAACTATTATAAGTGATTGTTACACTTGTGTGTAATGTTCCAAAAATTTTTGTATATTAAATATTTAATTAATCAAAGAACCGCGACATTTTGCAGAACAAAGGCATCGACGGTTTTCAATATGAGAGACGGAGAAGATAACTCGCAAGTTCATCAACAGGATGCCAGATAAGTACTCGAGGTTTCTTCTACGGTATTTCGAAGTATCAGTCTCTTCGTTATCTCAATGTTGTCATACGCACACACATTCGCGAACGTAGAGACAGTCTATAGAGCATCCTTAGAAACATAGTGGAAAAGAAACCGAAACGAACAACAACTACACACCAACAGTAAAACTACAATATATCATCTATAATAACAACTACAGCAACAACCAACACGCCTGCCTGTATATCGCTCATTACTCATCATCATCATCATCTTCTTTGTCATCATTCATCATTAATCGGCATCTCATCGTCCACGTGGCACATTGTGCTTGAAGGAATTGGCAAGATCAAGAAGCCGGAAGCTTCTTCAAACTGCTGGTAACTCAAATTGATTAACATCCGATTGTTTACAATGTATAAAATATGATTAAAGTCAAAAGATTTTCCCGACAAGATATAATTAAAATATTAGAGAGATGAACAAAGAGAATAATACAAAATCAATATATAAGTTTTAAATAATTTATTGAGAGGAGCAGAGTATATGATGATAATATTATGAATCTTATTCTAATTTATAATATCAATGAAACAAGATTCGCATAAATTACGATTCTATATTTTTTGGATCTTGATATTTCCAAATATCGTTTATTTTTTTTTAAATATCCAAATCAAATAT